GGCCTGGGAGCGGCTGAAAGAATTCCGCCCGTGGTCCGCCCACGAGAAAACTGCAGTGAGCCTTCCATCAGGACGGGAAAAACCGAGCTACATGGAGGAAAGCAAGTCTTTCCTCCCTCCAAAAATATGACCAGGACTACATGGTCGCCAATCAATCAACGCAAAGTGCTGCAAAAGTTGTAGGCCAGGAGAGTTCCATGGGCCAAGTCTGGGAAAAAATTAAGCCCCGCTCAGATCTTTCACTGGTCGACCATGAGTGAAGTTCTTGAGCTCCAAGAAAATCATATCTTCAAGGTCTATATAGGCAGAAGCACCTCATATGAACTTCCATGGCTACTCCCCTACGCGCTCGAGTGGGGCCGCAAAGAGGCCAACGTTGGCAGTGATGAGCTTCGCATGACCTGCCGATGCCGCTGAAGCCCGGTCGTACCGACCCCCTCCCTCAAAAGGCGTGCCTGCAAACTAACACACCAAGGCCACCTGGAAGGGAAAAATCTCTGGTAGTTCCAAAGGTCCATTTCAACTTCCAAGTAACTGGATAAGGGGCACCCCTGCCTCCCCCATTAAACCTCCTGATTCAAAGCCACCTGTGGATTGCCATTTTGTATCCCAACACTCGCATGAGCAACACGGATGTCCCATGTGACCAAATACCAAACTGCAGCCCGTTCTTGTTGAGAGCGTTTGAGTGTTTGATGTGACACAGTCCTCGGAAAGGGGCCAGGCTGGACCATGACGCAAGCCAAAAGAACTCTTTGTTTTAAGACCATTCTGATCCATTCTGGCAGAATTTAAGACCATTACGTGTTCGGCCAAAACTCCGACTCCACCGGGAGAAACGTCACGTCACGTCGACACTCCCCGTCGTCCGCCACGGTCCGCCTGCGCGTAGCGTTCTTCCATCTCCCTCCGCCGGGCGGGATCCCGAAGGAGCCTCGAGGCCTCCTGGCGTGAAGAAAGCCAGTCGGTGCAGTTGCTGGAGTTCCGCAGCGAAACAAGAAAAAACCGGTGAGACCAACAGTCACATGGAGTTGGGTGGTGTTTAGTCCCTAAGTGAGTGGAGTAGCTGGGCCCCCCTAACCTCCATTAAGCACCCCTTTGTGACTGCTGGTAGATATACCTTCCTCTTAGTTCCGTTCGTAGCTTCAAAGACCTACTAGTAGCTTCTTGTTACAGGTGAAAGGATTCTCGAACCGATTCCCGACGAAAGTGGGTTGAGAGTAATTAGATGACACAATCCGCAAACGATTCCCCGAAGGTCGGTGGTTGATATGGACCCCCCGACATCTCGGGGGAAAACGTGCCATCTACTTCTTGAAACCAGGAAGTCATGATTGAAGTCCAAAAGGTCATATGGTCTAATTTATGTCTACGGTAAGTCCAACTCAAATCCGATTTGGGTGTGTCTCTGGGTGGAGCGAAAAGGACACGCCACAAAAAGAAAGAAGGCGTGTTGGGGCTCAATCCGTGGAACATGGTGGAACTCTTCATCCAGTTTGGTACATAATTGGAATGGAACTCGGGTGGTGGGGTGATGCCGGACGGTCGCTTGCGCCATTGTCACCCAGAATTCTTGGAACGTTGATGAATGTTGCGGCTTTTTTCTGCAGACTCCCAGGCCCAGTTGTCACATTTGTCAAGTGCAAAACAACTAAGACCTGATGCCTGGTTGGTTGGTTCAGGTGACTCTCCCACGGCAGCACCGTGATCTGAAAGGCCGCAAGCGCTCCAGTCCGCTCGGCCGCTCCTGGATGAACTGTCGCCGCTCGTGGGAGGCTTTCCGTCGGCCCTGTTGCTGCCAGGTATCCCGACTCAAAGGCCGCTTCAGCAAGGGGTTCCTGGGCGTGGTCGCGGTCTGATTTGCTCGGCGTGCTGATTGGTTCGGGGGTCGCTGGGGTTCACTTGGGTTGGATGGTGCGTCAATACGGTCGGTCGACTTGCGCTACGGCAGACGCAGCCGGTAGTGCTCTGTCTTCTGGTCATACTGGTGTGGGGTCAGGGAGTGCCATCCCAACTAAGCCATGTCCTGGGAGTGCCATCACGCTCCGATTCTGGCTTGGTGGGATCCTGCCACCCCTCCCTATGACTCTGGGCAGTTAGATCCACACCTGATCATTGAAGGTGGGCATGGGGAACTGAGAGCTGGGGGTCGTCATCACCTCAATCACCTCTTCATGCTGTACAGTAGGGGGCCAGTATTTGCTCGAGCCCTGCATGTCTTATCCTTTGGAACCGCTGGGTAGCCACTATCATTGAGCATGAAACTGGCGGACCCGGACCCACCAAGAAATGAGACCCTTGGGCTTTGAGCTTGGCTCTCCCGCAAAAGGCCTGCTGTTCAGAGGCTGTAAACCAAGCATGACATCCATATGCCATAAACATCCAAAGGGGTGGGAGGTGGCGAGGCTCTCTCTCTTTTTTATGGGTGCTCCCGGCAACTCAACGGTACCAAGCTGGCTGTAGTCTTCGCCACCCCACGTTGGTCGCTGGTCGCCGGGTCGGTTCGACAATCTGAGACACCCATTTCGGCCGTGGAGGCGGTTTGCACCATGTGAAGGTATGATAATCATGATACATTTGGTGAACATGGGCAACCACATGCCAAGAAGGGCTAATTCGTCCCAAATAATAAAATGCCCCAGTGTAAAGGTGCCGCTGACCTGTTGACAGGCCTCACCTCCCCCTCAACAGTCAGAATGAGTCCGGTAGAGCTACACAAGGTTAAACTGCCAATCTTCCACGTGCCAAACCTGTGCTGGTTCCAAAAGGAGCCATTCCCATGAAGACCGTCACTAACCACATACAGCTGTTGAAACAGTTGAGGGGCTGAGTCCAAATTATGCCGGTCGAAGCAATCAACAATAAGCAGCACCAAATTGCAGTATAATAGATCTATATATATATATTAACCCAAACACTCCATGTTTGGTATATATGCCTACATTCACCCCCGAAACCACCCCGGTGTAGGTAAATATGGCATACATGGAGTGTCTGGATAATGTAAAGCTCTCCGGCAGGGCAGGTCCCGTGGTTTCGTTGACAGAGCTGCGACCTTCTGTCATCGCACTCACCAAAAATCCATCACCAAGGTGCTCCTGATAGAAAGAGAAACTGGGATCCGGCTTGCAGCTGGCGCGGTTGTTGTGCCGCAGCCACCAATCTTCATCCTCACAGCTGTGAACTTTCTTCCCACATGCATTGTGGATCGTGGAACCCTGGCCCTGGCGTGCTTCGTTTGACCCCCAAAAATCACAAATGGACCAAACATGGCCGTGCGTAACATCTTATATCTGTCCGTGAATAGTCCCGCAAATTGAGAACCGTGAGGGTGCATTGTCTTTCCTGTCGGATGGGGCAAGCTGCCCCCGCAAGCCCAAAAGTGGCAGCCAAAGGCAGGCAGAAGGGCCTTCAATCAATCAGAGCGGAGCAGGACCCTTCTTGGCGGTGCAAGTTCGCGACTGAGGCTAAGGACTCCTGCTCCACCTCACCTGTGCCAAACTGAGATCCAAAACCAACATAGCCTGACGTCGAATGGATTGCCCTCTCAAAAAGCATTAACTTGGGTCACCAGGGTCTGACTTGTGACCATGAACGTCCCACACAAACACCGATACGAACGTCGCCGCCTATATAATATATATATATATATACCTCGCAAGGGATATTACAGAATCCGAATCTTCCACGCCATTCTTCCCAATCACTTGGAATCAGTGATGCAAACATACGGGCATCTTGGAAACCACCCCAAACACACGCAAACACTTAGAAGGAAGCTTGTAAAAAGCAAAGTTCGGTGCAGATCCGGAATGCATTGGCCCTTTAGGATATAGTTGCCACAAAACGACCTCATAACCTGGAAACAGCCCTGAATTGGTCTGAGAACAACATGTAACTGTTTCTGCATTACCGACCTTCTGGTTTCAATTGCAGGTACGTCAGCGAGCGTCCTTGATGCCCTCTCTTCAGGTGTGGCCCCTGCCACTGCTGTTAAACAATTGAGTTGCCTTGATTTGTGCTTCTGTGTGAATTATGTCATTGAATTGCGTGGTGACACACGCATACAAACACAAAAAACACGCACACACCCAACATATAATCCCATCTCCCAGCACCAGACGGCCGCGCGAGACGGCGCACCCAAACATCGCACTTGGCTCTCGCACTCCGCTCGGCCCGTCGGTCCTGCTGCTTGGTCACATGGAAGCGCTCCTTTCCGGGCAGCGCCGCAGCGGACTTCATCCACAACTCGCCATTCCTCGGGCGCGGAGCCGCTGGCGCCGTACGGGTTGTTTTTTCACATCGGAACAGCCGCTTGGAGATGTTTCTTGGGAGCATCAGTCAATGGAGGCAGCCGGTCCGGGGTCTCATGCAGAATCAATGAGAAGGTGATCATTGATTCTCAATGCCCTAGGCTTCCAACAATCATTGATTTAATGGTCTTTACATATCTTTACCGAACAACCATGAACAACGCCCCTGTTTGACTCAGGACATTTACACTCCAACAGCAGGTTCACCGGTCGGTGACGTTCAAACGGTGAACCGACCGGGGTGGGTGACGACCGGACATCGGTCCGAGCGCGGTGACTCGGTCCCAAACCATCGGGACGAAGACACGCGAAACAGGGTCATACTATGGGGGTATACTATGGGGACTACTTGACTACTATGGGGTGGGTAGGTAGGTATGTAACTATATATTTCATACTATTTCAGTCCGGATGGTTTGGGTTTGCACGCATCTTTTCGGCTTGGTGTGCGGAGTTGACCTTGCGACCCGAAATGTCCGGGAGTTGACCTCAATCAGCCGCTGAATTCCGGTCACGTTCCACGCGGAGGAGACCTGAGCGCCTGGGTCTTTTTTGAGCATTGCAGGAGAGACCTGGGTCGGTCATATACATGGGTCTGTCTTATTATAGCGGTTCTGCCGATGTGTTAGCATCAGGCTGCGCTAAAAGAAATGGACCCGACCTCCAACTGCAGCAAGCACGGGTCGACCAAAACAAAGGCGTCTCAGCACTTCGCAGGGTGGAGCAAATCACATGTGCGACAACAAACAAGGCTCAGACTCATTGGGACATGTGATGAAGTATGATGAAATATGTCTGTTGGTCCACCTCCCACTGTTCTGCTCCAGCATCCTCTCCGACGATCTTCCCCATTTCTCCAGAAACATCACCACCAAACCACCCAACCACCCAACCTGGCCCCCCAAACCAGAAACCAGCTCGTCTCACTCCTAGCGGCTGCAGCCGGTTCTTCTCCAAGAACAGCCCACGATCGCTGCGGGAGAGGATCTCGCGGGGGAAGGCCAGGTCAGGGCGGCGGTTCATCGGCGCGTCCGTTGAACGGACCGTCTGGTTCGGCGTTTGGATGGGATGATGCCTGTCTTGATCATTTGGGGATCGCGTGAGTCACTGGACGAGTGTGGTCGGGGGGGGGGTATTCCGAATGAAGCGAGAAATGACCGCCGGTTTGAATGGGAAGAATGAGTTCTCTTTTGGGAGGGTGGGCCATTCAAACCCTCAATGAAACAGTTGTTTTTTCTTTACGACCAGGGCCTGGGATGCAGGGGCCCAGGGCCCCTGGAGAATCGACTGAGCCAGCGGCTAGCCAAGGTATGGAGAATCGAGAAAAGCTTGGCACCATCAAGCACTTCACTCCAACTTCCCACTTCATTCACTCGAAATGGAAGTGATCCATGCAACATATCTCCACACGTCTCCATGCAACATATAGTATATATATACATCACATAACCACCGAAATTCATCAGTTGGAGTCGAGCCAAAGCAAGGCCACAAGATCCAACCATCCAGTTCTTTCTCAGCCCCGCACTCATGGAGAAGGACTGGCGGGGCGGGGTCGGGTGCAAACAACATGCCGAACGGCAGGGAGGGGTCGGGATTCCGCCCTCGGAATCCCAGTCCCAACCAGAAACAATTGAACGTTTCCCCCCTTTTCGGCCATTTCTGTAGAAGTGTCTTGTCTTAAGTGCCATATTGGAAATTATTGGAACTTTGCTTCTGATTCTTTGGGTTTCCAGGGCCTCAAACCTAAACCTCTCCGGAGGTTTCGGAGGCCGCACCCCCCTCGAAAAGACGACCATATCTTCAAGTCGACGTCTTCGAAGGTTTGGACACCGGTCGTGGCTCTTCAGGGGGGTCCTGTGTGCGATTTGGTGTAAAGTACATGATCATCAGTGGTGTGTAAGTGGTCAAGACTTGATTTGGTGAAGTCCTGTGTGTCAAGTCTTTGATTTGGTGAAGTCGACTTGACACGCAAAAATTATTGCTGTGTAAATGGTTGGTGCGCAGCCCAAAGGTTTTTCAGGACGCGTCTCGCTCGACGATCCCAGTAAAATACCCCAGGTGTTCCAGGTCCTCTTTCAGGTCACAAAAAACTCTCTTAAGGATGGCAGAGAGTTTGTTGAGCGGAGTTTCAGTATGTGTCAGTTCACCAGCGACCCCAAGACCTCAAGACCGGCTTTTTTTTCAGCCGCCGCAGGATGAAAGAAACCAGCGGTCGGCAAGAGCCAAATGCGGTAGTCACCCACCAATATATAACCTACATTCACCTACTGAGACATTGTTTGTTCTCAAGTTTCTTGCGCGACAACTTCTGATTTACATTCCAACATTTCCAACTGTCCTCTCTCTCTTCCAACTGTTACATCGGCGGTTTTTGGCCGCTGCTCAGCTCTTCGCTGCTCGGGGGTCCTTCATTTGGGTTTGAGCTGAGGCTTCCCCCTTGGCCTCGTCACCGCCCGGCAACCCGTGCCTTGGCCACTTCCGGCTCCTCAGTGCCTGAAGTCTGAAGTCTGACCCCAATAGACCAATAGAAAGAGAAGTGGGGTAGAAGCGCGGAGCTTCTGAACTCCCAAAACGTCCCAAATCGGATCTGAACCATGGTGATCCACGGTGCTAAAACATTTTGTAGGTGACCGTGTCAGCTGTAAAATTGAGCACAAAAAAAGAATACATGGCTTTCAGAGTTCCATTGGTCATTCAGGGTCCACACCCATGAGCTGCACACATAGATGTTCGAGCCCAAAAGGGTGGGGATGGAATATCCGGATCCAAACTTCCTGCGTAAGGCGTTCTTGGTGCCCGATCCCCACTCCCAGGATTCCTTGCGCTCACCCATGTGGATTCCTCTTAAGCATTCAACTATCGGGGATTCCTTGACACTGCCCGTCTTGACTGCCCAAATGAGAAAGAAATTTCAGAAAAGCCTGCAGCATCCTGCGGTCCCTGTGTTCATTTGTCGTGGTCTGTTTCTATAACAATTAGACTTTGAGATACTTTGAGGGTGGTTTCAAGTGACAAGAAGGTAGAGCTTCCCAGTCAGGAAAGCATTGATGTATAAATTGGCAAGTTTGGATGATGTTTGAGCCTGCAAGGCATCTTCCAATGACCTCGTCTGACGGCACCCGAAGCACACAGACGGCTTGCGGCCTGTTTGCTTGGCCTGCCCCGGCAAGGACCTCGACGGAACCGTCGACTCCAGGGCGTCATGTTGATGTTAGGTGACCTTACAACCGTATCTGTCATATCCTGTCTGCCTGTGCCAGGGAAGTGGGTGGGTAGATGTTTCGCTCCCACCATGGTTCAACAGGTTTTAGGTTTCATCTGTTGGATTCGAATGCTTGTGGTCCCCCCTCCCACACCAAATTCTTCGCAGCCTTGTGCACCTACACACCTCCTGCGCCCCCCCTCTGACCTACTCCACTCCTCTGATGATTCAGGACCAGATGTGGGCCAGGAAAGACCTACGATGATGACAACCACAGTACGTAGGTCCCTTGTGGGTCCTAAAATTGGATCACCTACGAGGTTTTGAGCCCCTGCAAGGTTCGAACCAGGGCGGCCAGTCCGCCCTTAGGGCCAGGGGATCTCCCTCATCAGTCATAAAACAAATCACGTCCTGCCCTGCAGTGAGAAAAAAACAATCTGCGAATCACCGATCTGCAATGATGTTTGTCGGGCCCAAGCGGTCAGCACGAGTGCTTGAGTAAGTAAACCAGCTGCCTTTTGGGCCGCGTCACCCTCGAGCCTCTGGTCATCTAACGACCACCAGTGTCATTTCACTGTCTGAAACTCAGCTTTGGGTGACCACTCAGACTACCACTCAGTTTGGTTGCGGCATAAAATGGAATCAGGTGAACAAAAAACGTCCAATCATGTCCAATCCCAGGGAAAATCTACAACACACATGGACGGCGGGTTGCTCCTGAGCCCTATAGGCTTCCAACCACCATTGATTTAATATAGTTTAACAGTTTTTGCAAACAACCATGGTTTAAGGATTTTAGATGATTTTGGACCACAAAGCCAGCTCCACCATTGTGCACAATGGAGATCCATCAGGACCCCATGGGACGTCCCCGGTTTGGGAAGGTGCTGGGGCTCTCTCTTGAGCCGCATGAAAAGCCCAACCGGCCCACCCAGGCGCCCCAACAGGTCCACCGAAAGCACCTCAGGGCTTTCAGCGAAGTGCAGTCCAAGATATCCCAAGTCAGCAGGGCCCGAGTTCAACTCCTAAGGATTGGTTGATGTTGAAATTGCTGGCCTGAAGCAAGGCCAATGGGCTGGCAGAACAGCTCCAGCATGGCAGTCAGAAGAAGTGCTGCCTCTGAAGGCCTCTTCTCTAGGTGTCTCCTCTTGTCTCAAGATGTTTGAGACGACTGTATACTGTACATGCATGGTCTGACCACATGCCCAAAGCGCACCCTCTTCGCTTCGGCTTCTGCCAGGGCGTCCTCTGGCAAAGCGAGCGCATGCGGATCCGGATCAGTGCTCTGGAAGAAAGAGGAACAACCATCGAACATGATCCAACATGTTGGTGTCTCGATCGTCCCCAAAGAATAGTGAGGGCACCGTGAGAACCAGAGAACCCACAGGGCGGGGAAGTAAAAAAACACGTTCAACACACACACACACACACAGTGTCCTCCACACAGTGTCCGGACAGGACAGACACACGTTCCATCTCGGTGTCCTCCATCTCAGCCACCTCCGGCCGCGGCTCCACGTTCCAAGAGTCCAGGAAGGCGATCTCTTCCAACGAGATGGCCCTGAGTCGAGGAAGCAGCCGCTGGTGATGGGGACCGGACCTGATGGGACGCCTTACGGGGACCGGACCTGATGGGGACGACGAACGCCGAAGCGATCAGACATCGGGCGTGGATGGGGGGACCCGAAGGAGACCTGGCGAAGTGAGTTGGGTGGCCAAAGAGGACGAGATGGGGGGCCGATGTGGGAGAAGACGGCGGGTATGTGTTCAGCTTCCATCCGGCTCAGTCGCCTTTCAATTGACACTATCGTGTGAAGGGTCTGGCTCTGACCAGGTGACAGGCCCAAGGTCTGGCTCTTCTTGGGCATGGCGCAAGCACGGCCTTAGGCCCCTCGCAGTACATAGAGATCACGACGTACCTCGTTTCACAGGGATCCTTCAGAGCGCAAAACGCGCATCCGACGTCCGACGCCGTGACGGTCGTCGTCCTGAGGCTCCCCCGCCGCTTTCCCGTGGCGGCGTCGCGGTTTCTCCTCGTGCCCGGCATTGCCCGAGGTCAAAGGGGGTGGACGGTCTAACCCGTATGCGAAAATCCCGCTCCTGCAGCAGTTCGGTGAAATCCTTTCCTTAACCCTCCCCACTTTCGGAAAACAAAGAGCCGGGTAACATCTCAACAGTGTTCTATTCTTTAACTTTTCACTATCTGAGCTAAGTGTTCCATCATTTTCTCCTTTGCCACATCTATCCACCAGTCAATTGGGTCTTCTTCTTTCGCTCTCAGCTCTCTCTCCGTCCGTCCCTGCGCTCAGCTCCGCTCCGGTCGGCAGAGTCGATGTCCAAGCAGTCGAAGAGCGTCCGCACGTTGCCCACCCACTTCATCTGGCGCCGCCGGCGCCCGGGCGCCAGGTGAAGGCGTTTGTTGTTCCGCCTTCATCTGCGTTCGGCGGTTTGGGGGGGTTGGCTTGAAGAGGACAAATATGACAATTGAAAGATTGGAGATCGGTTGTGCCTCATCTTCAAGCATCTTAGTAAGCAAGGTTCGAAACAGGTCAAGGCGTTGCTGTCGGCACAAATCAGGGGGGGTGGTGTTGATCGATCTTCCTATATCTTCCTGCACTGTGTTGGTGGGGGACACTCACCCAGTTCCAGACTTCACCCATTAAACCCCGCCCCAAACTTCTTCTCTCAACCACGCCCGGACCTTCGTTTGACCGAGAAACCCGGCCCGGTTTAGGCCACTCGATGTCGCTCCTTTCACGGTGCCGGAGCACCACGCTCGATCTTCCCCTGACCCTTGCTAGCAAGAAACACGAAACACCACGTGTCGATGTTCCGCACTGCCACCCACGCATCAAAAACCAGGAAAAAGAACCAGTCGACTGAAGAGCCCGTCTTGTCGCCCCATCCTGTACCACAGGCCAGGTCCTAGATGCTCTCTCAACCTCTCTTGGAATGCCATAAAATCCAATAAAACCATCACCCGGAGCGAGCGTGGGAGCCCAGCGAGCGCCTTGTGGCAGGCACGCTTCAGCTCCGCAAAGGTCACCGAGCCGCTGCGGTCGCTGTCTAAGGCCTCCGAGACCGGGACCGGGCGAGACGGGCGAGAGAGGAAGATGGACGAACTGCTCTTGGGCTGCGTCTTTTTTTCGAAAGGAAGGTGAAGGTAGATCAGCTACGAAAAAGAAAATGAGGGTGCGGATGATGGCTGAGTATAAGTGGAGCCTGGCTTTGTCCGGATTTGCGCATGTGAGAGTGAGCTCGAAATGCGCCCTGCTGTCCTTCGTGTCCGGTCCCGACGTTGCTCTCCCGGCACGTCGGTTCGTTCGCGTCGCCGCTCGGTTCGTTCGCCTTGAAGCAGTGTCGCACCGACCCAAAGTTGGAGTCGGCCCACTCCTGTCGACATCTCCGTCTCCGACGGCTGGCACGAGGCGACCGGGCGCGACGGCGCCAACCCTTTCGAGGCGACGCCTCGGTGTCGGTGCCGAGGCGTTCCGCACTTCTCGTTGACCCCGTCGCTGTGCGACCGGGCGCGGTCGGTGCGACCGGTGGCGACCCGGAGGCGGCGGGTCGCTCCCCGCGAGCGGCGGCGAGTGACGTCGGGCGCCTTGAAGGAGGTGAGAAGCTCTTCGCTCTCGGGGTCCTTAGGACATCCCCGACGGGTGGTGTGGTGCATCGTATTGGTTGGAGCGAAATGCGGATGCTGAAGACATGTGGTTGAGAATCATTACATAGTTTTTATACAGTATTACCTACTGCCCTGAACCGGGCAGTGGCATGGACTGTCCGCAAGTCGCGCTATACAGTATCAGTATTAACCTAACATAGGTTCGGGGATCTTGGTGTCCCATGGTTCTTTGGCTGCGTTGGAGATGTGTACATGTGCGTCCTGCAGCTGGCACAGGTCGCCTTTCGCTTCATCAAAGAATGCCACTATTTCGGTACACTCCTGGAGGACAAGGACACAAAAAAAATACAGAAAAACAACACATGGATTGTACGAGTAGAGGAAAGTGACCTGTATACAGCAATTTGCCAGGTTCTCGAAATATTAGACATGTTCTACCCTCCAAGAATGATAAGACCCTCGGGCTCCAACTAGCTCCTGAGAAGGTGGTTGGGGTGGGTTTGGGGAGTCTAACCACCTTCCGAGCATGTGGTTGGAGCCCTAGGGAGATGCAAGTGCAAGTTGACCCTACAGTCCTTCGCCTCAGCGAAACCGGATCCGCCCTGTTCGGTGATGCTCCGTGGTCGGCCGCTGGGTCGCCCGGCGTACTCCCGCATTGAGATATACCCGGACCTCGGAGGGTGGGAAGAAGCTGTGCTCGGGGCTGGGAGAGGAGTGAAGGAAAGCGAGACACAGTGGGAAGGAGATGGGCTGTTAAGTTACGAGAATGTAGTCATCTACCTTAGCCCCAATTCAATCTCCAGGAAAAAGGATTGAAATGGATTGAATGTAGAAACCAAGGGTTCGGGAGCAGAAGCCAGATCCTCAACCACCATGAAGCCAGAACCACCCATTGGCCTCGCAAGCCCGCACAAACCATATCACGCCCTAACCCAAACTCATCCAAACTGGTGCTGGATATAAGTGCCCCTGTAATCCCCTAGACTTATATACTCAGATGCGAGCATGTAAAGTTACTACAGCAAGTAAGTATGGCCAAGTGTTTCATCAAGTGTAATATTAAGTGGATTGTTCAGCCGCTATCCTTAAGGCCTTAAATCAGGTGTCAGCCCTCCAAAGCCTACTCCGACCATCCGCAGGATCTGACTGAAACCTGGGCCACCCGACATGTCTGCATCCAAGGCCCTCCAAGCACCTACGATGTCACCGGTATACCGCACCTGCAGGGGAAACCCGAGAGGCGAGACTGTCGGTCGATCCTGATCATGCGCTGCGCCCGCACGACGACGGGGACAGTGCATCGACGTGCGCTGCATGTAACCCCGAAGGATCTGCTGAAAAGAGCCCACGACCCCAATCAGTCCAAATCGGTGGAGGACAAAGTCCGTCTAGTAGCTTCTTGTTGTTACTAGTAGTAACGCCAGGAGCGCCCCGTTCGTAGCGTCCTGGGTACTGCGATGCAACCTTGTCGAGGTGGTTTATAGATGTTTTGAATTGTTTTGATATGTACCTATAAAAATACCCCCATTTAAAAGACATTGAGGGGTGCCAGTATATACTTCGAAACCGCTGCAAAAGCAGGCCCCTTAAGAAATAAGAACTCGTCTCACAAGCTTGAGCGGCCTCTTAAGAGTTCCCCTAGCCTGAGCCCTAGCCTTCCAAGACTATGCAAAAAAATGTGAACCTGGTGTGGTGCTCTAAATTCTAAAATCCTCTAAATCCCGTTGTACAGCAACGATGGTTTATACTGTGGCATCCCGATCCCCTTGTTGCATTCCTCTTCCACGCTTGCCCACCATGGGGCAAAAAATGTGTGGTTCTCATGCACTTGTTAGGGGAGAAGTGCAATCAGTGGCTACGCTTCAAACCAACAATCCTCTTGGAAGCCCTGCACCACGGCACCCGATTGGCCACCAACCAGGAGTCACATGGAGTTGGGTGGGTTTTGGTCCCTAAGTGGATGACCCCTTTGTGCCTGCTGGTGCACTGTCTTACTTGCTGATGACGCAAGCCTTCCAATTGGACCAAGCAGGGCACTGGTCGTCTGAACGGATCTGAATGACTGGAAGATCGTTCGTTCTTGTCTGCACCCAGTCCTCCCCCTCCACCGCAGTCGGCCCGGTTCCCCCCGCAGCCTTCCGGCAAACGTCTCGGAACTCGGTCCACGCAATGCGATTGGAACTGTCCCTGCCGGTGGCGGGTGGGTGTGCCGGCCGAGATGGGGTGCCCAAGCGAGGCGTCAGCTGCCCGACCCTTCGCCTTCGGGGTCATCTGGCGGGACAAGCGGTACGCTCAATTGGACACCCATTGGAAGGACAAGCAGCCAGGTCTGCAGCCAGGTCTGCAGGATCGCCATGATCTAAGTGCCATCAACAGCAAAATGGAGATCAACTACCAGGCGATACTAGATCGTTGGTATTCGTTGGTGTCCACGGTCCCTCCACCCTATGCTTGTGTTGGCTGAACAATGTGACAATGGGACCTCATCTCCTTCACCCCGCCACCTCCCAAATGTCCCAATGTCGCGGTCCAAAGAGGGCCCAGCGAATGGCCTGTCCAGTATCCTCCAGGCCCTCAAGGGGTGCTGGTAGGTTTTCACCAGCAAGTCCTGCGTGCTGGAACGCAGTACACATGGCAAGTCAGAAAGAACCGTGCGCAAAGGATCACAAAAGAAGAATCAAAAAGCAAAAAGCAGCAACTCTTCTCTCCAACCGCCTCACATGTCCAAGACTGTACACCATCCATGGCTATGTCACCCTTCGATATATTCATCTATAATATTCATGCACACCATGACACACCTATCTCCCCGTTCCTTCTATTTGCCTCCCTGGTTCTTCTCCTCCCTCTCTCTTATAGCCCTGCTGTGGTTGCGATCCCCATCCTTGAGCTCCACCCAGGATTCTAAACTGGGATCTGCAGCCAAGAACTCGGAGGGCTGCCACCTGGAGCGTGGCGTGCGGCGTGCGCATGCCAAGCGGGCGGAGGGGAGCGGATGGCGTGTTCGTCCGATGTTCGTCCGGGGGGAGCTGCCACGCAGGTGAGGCCCACCCCTGGCCCAAATGAACATCAGCTCTCCTTAAGACGTCACGACATTTGGGGGATGGTTTTGGTTCAACCCTTCCCCCGCGGCTCGAGCATGGAGAATGGAGAATGGAAGAAATGGGGTGGCCCCCCCCAGCCAAGACGGAGGGTGGTGAAGAACAGCGAAGTGCCAGGATCATGAAAAATGATGAAAAATTGGTGTCCACTAGACTACCCTACCCTACATAAACAGGTCTCCATTGGGCGCCTGTTGGAAGTGCTAGGGCCCGCACTCACAAAGGGGTGACTTAATGGAGGTTAGGGGTGCCCATGATCCACTCACTTGGGGATCAAACACCACCCCTTTGTGACTCCTGGTGGTTGGTTTTTCTTCACGTTTTCACTTTGGCAGTCCGGAAGCCCAGAACCAAACTCCGAAGCACGACCGGTGGGAACACCGTTTGGCGCAACAAATGGTTTTGGTGCGACGTTCCCGGACTTTTTGGTGGGCCCAAGATGGCCCAAAGAAGTCTTGCTAGGACCCCATTATACAGAACCTATAACACCTAGAGTAGACTCTTGATTGATAAGAGGTCCAGTTCTTACGATCCAAATGGGGGAGTTATGGGGAGTTGCATTTTTGATTCAAGCGTCTACTTGCACCTCAGGTGAAGGATTCTCACTTGGATTCTCACTACTTGATGCATCAAATGTCCCGATATGTCCCGATACTTGGAGGGTCCCACCGAGGATGTTCGTTGCACACACCTCAGCTCACACGACGCGTCGCATGCGTCGCAGGTCAGGTCGTGAAATTCGGAATCGCCCCGGCACCCCGTCCCCCCCGCGGGCGACGCCGCGACAAAACGAGGGCCTGTCAAGCCAGTCTAGGTCCTGGAAGGTAATCAAGTTGCACCCCATGGAGTCTAAGGAGGTATAAACAAAGGACCGGTCCTGGCCATCGACGCCAGGCGGTCCGACTACGTGGAGTCGGCTGGAAGAAAGGGTGGGTGGTTCCACCGGTCCTGCGCCCTTTTCCAACATCGTGCGATCGCACATCTGCTGCGGAATCCTCTAGACTTGGTTGGGGGATCGGCCCAGCATCGGCCCTGTGTCATCGGGTTTCGCTTTCGAACCGCTACACTGTAGTTGAAAACCGCTACCCCAAAGGTTTATAGACTTTCTATTCCAAGCAAGCTTGACTCCAGTACAGTAAATGACTCGAGGCGATGCTCGAAACAGAAACTCTTTCAATCCAACCAGATTATCGAGCTTATGAATGTTGAGCCTAGAAAAAAGCACCACACTGCTCGGAGAAAAAGGATGACAAAGGTATACAAAGTCAACATCATGATACCAAAAAGGCTGGACATCTCGTGCATCACGACTTGAGAAACCACCACGGCGTCTGCGCGCTCGACTGGCGCACGCAAGCACCGTGGGGGTCTCGTTCCCGACTCCGGGGACCACTGGAGCGCCTCCGCACTATGGATGCCCGGCCAGCCGAGCTCGCGAAGTGCCTGGCACCGGTGGGGCCCGCCGGTGGGGCCCTCCAGAGGCCGACGTCCGCGACCCGCCCGCCCGCCGCGGGTCCGGTGGAGATCGGTCTCCTAGTTCGACACCCAAAAAGAACTGCAAAGAACTGCAGAACAGTTCCCTGATGTTCCCTGGTTCTGGAAGTCTATGTAAGGGCGTGTGGATGCGTGTGGTTCCCACCATGTGTGGACGTGATTTACGACAATTCCGTGCGAAATCGCGCGCAGCCGCGCAAGTGTCAGAGATTTGGCTGGACAGCCGGTTTGGCGAGTTGGATGTAGGAACTCAGGGCTCGAAAAGAAAAGAACCAGGACCTTCAAAGTGACCTCTTTGGAGTCTCTAAGTGACCTCATTCTAGGATCTCACGTTCGGTCACTTTGAAGGTCCTGGAATGTGTTTGTTTAGACCGTAGACCTACCCCGGCGCATGAGACTGCAGCCCGCCCGATGCCGGTACCTATATAGTACCAATGATGTGTGAGTCATGTGTCGAGTGAAGGTGTCGAACGACTTTTGCGGAGCAACGCAAAGCTCACAACTGTCTTGGCATTGGAATTGGGAACGAATCTCGTCAATTGTATCTATGTACAGTACACGTCATATAATGATTGAGCCATATTGAGCATGTACATTTCACAGGATTCCATCCATCCATGTATGACACCTACGGATACCATCACGAAAATCGGCCCGCCTCTCCAAAGGAGGTCACCAGCCTGGGCGCCCAGTGGGACCGGAGAACCGGGCCTCCGAAACAGGAAGAAGCTCCGAACATGTTGGTTTCCACCACGCCACCCTCTCCCCTCTCCCCTTCGTCCCCTCTCCCCTTCCTTCCTCCCATTCCGCCACCTGGGCACCCCGGACATCTTCGATTCCGAGACCCAGGAGCCCTGCGCGCGCCGGCGCGCCCGGGCGCGCAGGGCTTCCTGCGAGTCCCACAGCCCCACGGCGCGGCCGAAGCGCCGCAGGGCCCAGTCCTGCGGCGCGTTGCGCGCCGCGCCGCGCCGGCGGAGGAAGGAGATGTTGGACCGTGTTTCTGTTGGACGGACGGACAAGGCAGTTGTTTTACACTGAAGATCGAACATCACATGGAAGCGGAAAACCCCTCCGCATTTCGTAATTTTTGTAAAGGACAGGAGTCTTCCAAGTTCATGTTCCAATTGCATGTTAGTGAGTTAGAGTGTAGTTCTTCGCAATGCGAAAGTTCAGCGGCTTTCACGTGATTTGGTGGGAACCGCCTATTTTGGGGGGATTTGATGTTTGCTCTTTCTCCCGCTGCCCGGTGAGTTCGACAGTCTCCCCCCACCGTGGTGTGAGAGAGTGCTTGCACAGCTTTGCTTTCCAAACCGGGAGGCCTAAAAGCAAGCAAACATCATCAACCAATACAAAAACAGTAGTTGAGTCTAACCAATATCGGGTGGGTATTTTCAGTAGGAGGACATCCAACCAATATCGGGTTTTGCTCGAATCGACTTTCCGAACCTTCCACAGGCGTCGGAACGCGAAGGTCTCCCGTTTATACACCTCCTCTTTCCCTGCCCTCGCTGCCCCAAAGAGCACTTCCGGCCACTTCCGCGGGACTCCTTGAACTTTGCGAGGGCTTCAGCCCTCCGGGAGCAAAGCTCCTGAATCGAAAATCAGGTATGAAACACCACGTGCGCCAGGCGATCCACCAAACCATGAATATGTTGACTCCCAGGTGACTCCACCAGGTGACTCCCACCTGCTACCCTGGATAGATACCAATTCCAGTCCAGGATGCTAAAAGATAGCTTTTTGCAACTTCTCGCAACATTTACGTCCATCTTGTGAATTTACGTCCTTTTGAAATGCTGAATGGTTTTTCACGTCCAAAGCCTAAATACTATAGATATATTTGAGTGTTGTGAAAAGACCAAGTTCAGCGATTACGGTAAAACACGTCCCGGACAACAATTCTCGTCCTTGCATACCAAAAGACAACAATTAGCGACATGGACAACAAAAGGTGGTTATAAGGTTTAGCAGGCAGGTGTCATGCCTCCGCCGCACCCAGCTGACGTCTGGGTGCGGTACCAAACCCGTTGAGTCTCGCTGTTTCAAGGCGGCAGGCTGGAATCTGCTGGGAACCTATGCAGGCCTTACCACATAGGAACAAAGAAGCTACTACAAGTAGGGGCTCCTGGCGGGCTCCTGGCCTTACTACTATATAGGAACAAGAGGACGCTACGAACGGGGCCTCGTGCGGCTTTGGGGTGCGGAGGTTGGTAGCACCCGGCCACGCCGTGGCAGCACGGGGTGCTGACCCGAAGACAAGACGGTACCGGATCCTGGCTGTCCGAAGAGCACTGCGGCATGACTGAGAAAGCAGAAGCCCGCACCCGGACGAGACTTGAGAAGCGACAGGCTTCTCATGGCTTCTCAAACTAACCCAGAAAAATCCATTTGGACTGATTTCACTCCACCTGGCAGTCATAATCCAGCACTACCGTAGGAGGTGTCAGTTGTGTTTAAATGAGTCAGTTTCCTGGACTCTCAGGGTCAACTGAGCCAACTGTCTGCCAAAATCTGGCACTGTCTGCTGGAAAATAGCACGAAACTGGGAGCTGAATCCACTAGGGGAAGGGAAGGAGTGAGTTGAGGGAAGGAGTGAGGGAAGTTGAGGGAAGTTGAGGGATTCTCTTCATTTCTCTTCACTTCCCTCAACTTCACTCCTTCCGCGTGTGCCCGAGGAGAAGAACACACACGTGTGCCCGCGTGGTTTTCAGGCTCAAGTCCTCCCAAGTCCCACGACCGAAACTCCCTCGGTGTCCTCCATCCTCACTCGCCCATCGCCGTCAGTGTCTAAGCTGGCCCACAGGTCCGAAATATGAACCGGCAGATCCACCTGAGCATCGGCGCATCTCGGCCGATCCGCCCTGACGCGCACACGGGTGCATGCGGTGTTCTTTTTCTCAGGTGTCCGGTAGATGGATTTCGTGATGGCGATAGAGGATGGAGATGGAGAATCAGAGCGTGCACTAATTCACTAAGCCTTCACTCAGCTAGTTGCACCACATATTGAAAACAACGATTTGCCTTCTAAATTGGGTCTGGCCTGTGCAGGAACAATCGACATGGAGGTCTTGTCTTCCAGCTCCCTGGACATCAGTTTCCGTCCCAAAAATCCTGGGATGATCCGTTGTTTGGACGGATCCATCTTGAGCATATGGATCATTCCATTCATAATTGCCTAGATCTTCCAACTGTGCATCCGTAAAACCAGCCCAGAGGCAGAACGTTGCCTAGTTGAAACTTATATATACTCTCATATATATATATATACATATAGGTACACTCGGACTCACCAATGGACCAACGTGGAAGTGGACAATTGCCCCTTGGAAGGCCACTGTGCTTTACAAAACAGGTTTTCCACTTCCCTGTTAGTGAGTCGGAGTGTAGATTCAAATCTCGAGGCCATGAGCAACTTCGCTTCCGCCTGCCTGGCGGGGTCCTGGTGCTTTCAACTAGCGCTTCATGCGCCTCTCTGATTCACATGATAAGCGTGATAAGGAACCCAGATACTCCATGTATGGATATGTATGGCATATCTACAGACTTTATCTATTTACATCCATGGATGGGTGCTTGCTTTCAGGGGGGTCAAATGTAGAGTGGGCACACATTCATGGAGTGTTTGGGTTGAAACCTAGCCCTTTTTTAGCCCCTTTCAGGCCCAGCCTGTCGGCAGTAGCGCCGGATGTCGGTCCTCGGCCGGACCAAGGCTGGGGAGATCCAAGCTCCGATGGAGTTCGAGCGGTTCGGAGAAAAAAAATCGGTTGATCAGTTGATCAGCCATCAGACCAAGTAGCTATATAGAGGGTTTTTTTTATATAAAGCTAGCCATATAGAGGGTTATTACAATTAGCTAGTACATGCTATATATATACCAATTAGCTATATATGTACTCTCTTGATTCATGTCCATGTCCATGTCCAAGTCAGCCAACTCCAGGTCAACAGGATCTCCGACGGCGTGAGATCATCGCTTGGGGGTCTCATGGAAATGACCTAAGGCCGCCACAGGGTCGCTGTATGGCCTGAGTGACGGCTCTCACCGAGCGATCACAGACCGAGCGATCACAGCGCTCTCTCTCCCTCTCTCTCATCTCCGCACCTCCAACTTGTTCGATGCCCCCACCAAAATACTTTTAACCTACTATCATTATCTTTACTTTACTTATATATCTTTGACTTCCAGTTCTCCGCACTCCGACCACTATGAAAAACCTCTCTTTCGGGGATTTGCCAGATTTGAAAGCTGCGCCGTCCCGGGTGGGACGGCGTCCCTGCAGAGTTTCGAAAGCTGCGGTTTTGGTGGCCATAGGTGGCCATGGGACCTTCTTTGCGAAACGATTGATTAAA